GTACAACAAATGGACACCCAAAACTCCCGTGTGTGTGTGTGTGTGTGTGTGTGTGTGTCTGTGTGTAAGTATCCGCACATTATTAAATAATCTTGGTTCAATAAGGAAATTTTAAAAGTACTTAGCAATGAATAATAGTAATAAACATACTACATATCACACATATTCACACTTACACACACACAAGTGCATATAAAATCTGTTGAAAACCAAATAAAGTCTATAGTATAGTTAAGAGTATTGTACAAATGTCAATTTCCTATGGTTATATTACAGTTATATAACATGCCTCCATGGAGAAGCTGGAAGAAGGATTCAAGGGACTCTATGTACCATTTTTGCAACTTCCCATGAACCAATAATCCTTTCAAATATCAAGTGTTTTTAAAAAAAACTACATGTCAAAATTTGAGACACAACTAAAGTAACATTTAGAAGTAAATTTATACTTTTAAATACAGTTATCAGAAAACAAAAAGCACTTAAAACTAAATACGTTCATAATTAGCTCAAGTTGTATAAGGAGCAACAAAGCAAATCCTCCCCCACAAAAAAAGACTGAAAATAAGGATGGTGGCAGAAACCAATGAAATAATAACCAACAACGAGTATTATTACAAAAAAAATCATTCTTTTGAAAAGATTAATGAGTTAGTTCTTTGGTAAATCTGATCAAGAGAGAAAATGCAAATAAAACACAGAATGAAAAAAGGGAAGTAACAGACATCAGATGTTTCATGAATAATAAAAGTATCATTTGTCGGACACTGTGGCTCACGCCTGTAATCCCACACTTCAGGAGGCCAAGGTGGGAAGATCACTAGAGGCCAGGAGTTTGAGACCAGATTGAGCAACACAGCAAGACCGCATACCTACAAAAACTTACAAACAAATCAGCCTGTTGTGGTGACACGCACCTGTAGTCTCAACTACTCAGGAGGCTGAGGCAGGAGAATCACTTGAGCCCAGGAGTTTGAATCTGCTGTGAGCTACGATCACACCAATGAACTCCAGCTAGGTGATACAGTGAGACCCGGTCTCAAAAAATTAATTAATTAATTAATTGAAGTATCATTAACAGCTCTACATTTATAAATTTGAAAACTTACATGAAGTAGACAAATTTCTAAGATAAGATTAAATGCCAAAATTGGCATAAGAAGAATACATGTAATGCCTTAAACCAACAAGAATGGCCAAATATCTCCTGCAAATTGACAAGAAAATGAGAACAACCGTAGTAGGAAAATCGGCCAAGCATATGAAGAGACAGTCCTCAGGGAAGCAAACCAGAAAGGCTAACACATGTGAAGAGACACTTAAACCCAACAAAAACCAGGGAAATGCAATCTATAGAACTGTACATCTATCAGACTGGTAAAGATCGGTAAGCTGGAAAAAGACAAGTGTTGGCAGGGGTGTGGGGATGAAGGAATCTTTGTGCCCTGTTGCTCATGGGATGGTTTGGAAGGAAGGGATAGAACCCTCTTCTAGACCCACAGGAAAAGGAGTTGAGAGTTCTGATCAGTGTCTCAGGCCCAAAACAGCGGCAGGGAGGAGTCTGACAATACTTAGTCAAATTAGGTTTATAAATATCCATTTCTGGGATACCCTAGGTATATAAAACAAAATTTCCAGGCTGCATGTGGTGGCTGGTGCCTGTAATACTAGCACTCTGGGAGTCCGAGGCGGGAGGATCGCTTGGGGTCAGGAGTTGGAGACCAGCCAGAGCAAGAGCAAGACCCTGTCTCTACTAAAAATAGAAAAATTAGCTGGGAGCAGTGGCACGCCCCTGTAGTCCCAACTACTCAGGAGGCTGAGGCAGGAGGATCACTTGAGCCCAGGAGTTTGAGGTTGCTGTGAGCTAGGCTGACACCACGGCACTCTAGCCCAGGTGACAGAACGAGACTCCGTCTAAAAAAAAAAAAGAAAATTCCACCTTCATCTACAAAGGAACATGCACAAGGATGCAGCAGCATTGCTGTGGTGACACTACATATCTTGGAAGAACACACACAAACCAAAAGATACACACTAACCACCTTAGAATGGCTGCCTATGGGAAGGTTCAGGAATGAAAGCGGGGACTAGGCATTAGTGAAAATAATGAAAACAGTGTGGAAGGGTTCATAGGTGTTGGACTCCGAGATAGACCAAGGTTGGAATCTTTATCCCTCCACTTACTAGCTGTGTGATCTTGTGCAATTGGTTGAACTCTGAGCCTGCCTCCTCATTTATAAAATGGGTTAATAATACCTCTCATAGGATCACTGTGAAGATTAATAAAATTATTAATAATTAATGTCCAGGCAAATGGGAAGCTGTCTATAAATGTTGGTTCTCGTGTGTCTGTCTACTCTCCACTACCTAAAGGATCAAGTTCAACCTCTTTAGCTGGCATTCAAGTCTCCCCTCACCCCAGCCCAGACTGGCCCCAGACCACCTTTCCAATTTTATCTAGCACGGTTCCCCTGCACAGCGGTCCAGCTAGAGGTCATTTCTGCCAACCTTTTCCGCCTGGAAAGCCACAGACACAGACGCTCTGTAACCCAAAATTCTGTGGCAAACAAAGGGACTAAGACCCGCAGAAAAGATGGGACATGGCAAGAAGAGATGAAGGCTGACAAAGGATTACCCAGAGGGGTTGGGCCAATCGGAGAAGGTGGCACACACCAGCGTGGGATGCAGAAGGACAGGACCCATCAATCTGAGCACAGGTGGGGACACAACCAGAAAAGACCGAAATGACATCCTCAAGGAAAAAAAGGACGGAGTAGTCAGAGGGGACGCCACCCCTACAAAACACAAACCTACAGAGGAAGAGGTGCGAACTGATGAAACCGGCCCTGGCAAGGAGACAGAGCAGCCGCAGAGAGCGCACAACCGGAGGGGCGGAAAATGGGGCGTGGGGCACAAGGACGGGGCTCTGGGGTGGGGGTGGGGGAAGGAGTCAACCTCAGAGGATGAAAGAGAGAAAAGGAGACAGGGCGGGTTGCACAGAGAAAAGGGGACAACACGGAACGCGGCGAGAAAGCGTGAGTTGGCTCCACGAGGGATACACAGAGAAGGCAACGCTTTCCTGTGGGAGGGGAGTCCCAAGAGAGGGTGAAAGCCGACAGGCGAGATGCACACAGGGCGTGGAAGGACAGAAAAACTAGAGGCGTCTCAGGAAGCCAAGAAAGCGGGGAAGGGGACCAGGCTATGAGTTAATGAAGCACGGGGAGAAAGTGGGTTCGGAAAGCAGCAGGGTGGGCAAGCAGAGAGTCCGAAAGGCAAAAGCGAGGTTAGGAAAATCAAAACTGACAGAAAGGGAGACACGAGGCAGGGGGCGCAACCTGAGAAGGTAGAACCCAGGAGGGAACAGGGAAATCACAGGGTGGGGCGGGCGCATGAAAGGAGAATGGAAGCTCTGGAGTTGGGGCACCGGGTGAGAAGCGAGAGAAATCACGAGCGTCCACTCAGCGAGGACAAGCCACCACAGCAAGCGCAGCTGAGGCGAAGGCAGGTCACACGAGCGAGGCTGAGCGTGCGCAGACGGGGCCGGCTCAAGGCCGAGGGGCGGAGCTGGGCGGGCCGTTCCTGGGGGGCAGGGCCAGCCTCGACCCACGGCTGTACTCGACGCCCCATTGGCCACCTTCTCAAAAGGGGAAGAACAGTCCAGGAAGGCAGGCCACATGGGAGGAGGGGCAAGGGGCACGAGACTCAACTCGACGCCCAATTGGCTGGCCTGATAGTCTGGCACACGAAGAAGCAGGCAGGAGGGAAGGAGTGGGTCATCAGGTCAGGATCTCGAAGCGCATTGGCTACTCGTTTCGGCAGCGGGAGGCAGCGCTCGAAGCTCATTGGTCCTCGTGAGAAGGGGCGGGAAAACTGGCGCGAGCGAGGCCGTTCCTCTCTCCGCTTTCTGGCCCCGGTACCTTTGTCTCCTCCTGTTTGAGTGTGACAGTGCTCGAAGCTGTGGTAACCACTGGCCGGTTGTGCGAACACGGCATCTCCCCTACCTGCCCCTTCTTCTCCCTCTTTCTGGTGCCGGACCACTTCACCCCACCTCCAAGCACCCCCTCGCTTCCCCCTGGCGTCCCTCGCGCCCCTTTTCTCCCCTCCCCCACCCCGAGGGCCCCTCGAAGCGTTCCCCATGCCCCGCCCCCTCCCTTGAACCCCAGATGGGGGTGGCGTTTTCGGGGGAAGGCTGCCTGAGGGAGTGGGAAGGGGGATGCTGAGAGATAAGTTGCTGGATGCAGGCACGGGAGCATGAGCACTGGGTGCAGCGACTTCATGAGTTTGCATGAAAACCTGGACGCCCTATGAGTACAAGAGAAAAATTCGTGCCTTGGAGAGGGCTTCTGGCCTAGATCAGGCCTGGTACCTGGCAGGGGCTCAGTAAACATTTGCGAAATGAATGGGGTGAATGAAAATAACTATTGAAAGTGGGGCAGGGAATCCTGAGAATAACGTAATTACTTTGGGTGCAAGAGGATTCTGATTTAAAAGGGTGCAAGAACAAAGTCAGACTAAAGGATTGCAGGGAGGGGATTGAACTGCAGGGCATACATGAGACTAAGCATTAAAGAGGGGCATGAAAATATTTGTAGGAATTGGATAAATGCACGAGGGTAGGATGATAACTGTTGAAGGGGCTGCCAGGAAAAACTGTTGGATGGAACTAGCTGTTTGTGGAAAGGGGGTGTAGGAATCGTTGACGGGAGTATGAAGGGCTTGAGGATGCCTAAAACTGATGTATGCGTGGGAAAGTACGCAGGTGAGCAAAAGCGAATATTGTTTGGACTGAAAGAATGCAGAAGAAAGGAAAGAGGAGAGGGGTTTTTCTTAGGAAGGAGGATACCTGAGAAAGGTCATGGGGTGAAAAGGGGAGAAGCCAGGATGAAGGTGGGGTCCAGAGGTGGGCAGGAGGGAGACCCACAGGTGTGGCCTCCCAGGGCAGGAGGCTTAGTTAGGGGAGGGCCCACATGGCCGTCCTGACCCTCCACTCCTGCCTCTAGATCCATGGAACCCAGTGAAATGCCTGCTGACCACCACTGCCCCTCAGACCCTACCCCAGCGGGTGAGACCAGAGCCCCCCAGGGCACGGAGCTTATCCCGAGAAGAGGAGTCAGTCGCTCTCCAACTTGCGCCCGCTGCCGCAACCACGGTGTCACTGCTCACCTCAAGGGCCACAAGCGCCTCTGCCTCTTTCAGGCTTGCGAGTGTCACAAATGTGTCCTCATCCTGTGAGTACGAGGTCCAGGAGGGGAGGAGAATGGACCTCCTCTAAAAGGTAGCTGACTTTTGACTAACAACACCCACCCCTCCACTTTTAGGGAGCGCCGAAGGGTCATGGCTGCCCAGGTGGCCTTGCGTAGGCAGCAGGAGGCGCAGCTAAAGAGGCATCTGGCTCAGGGACTGATGAGGAGAGGGACGGAGCCTCCCAAAGCTCCCAGCCGTGTCAAGAAGGGAACCAGTCGACCGGAGGTCCCCTGTGAGTGTCTCTGGCCAGGGGTGGGGCAGGGATTTGGGTGTAGAAAGCATAGGTGGGGAAGAGTCCCGGTCCTGCCACTGAATTGGTATATGACCTTGAGCAAGGCGTTTCTACTCCCTGAGCCTCAGCCATCCCAGTGTTGGGAGGATACAGTGAGATCTGCTGGTAGAAAATGGCCAGAGAAAGATAAGAACTCAGTTTGGGGTTGGGGTAAGGGTAGGGGTCAGGAGAACGGGCTCATGAGAGCTCTGTCTGGTCTTTCACAGCTGGAAAGGAGAACATAGCGCCCCAGCCTCGGACGCCCCATGGAGTAGTCCCACTGGCACTGACACCCCCTGGGAAGGTAAGGAGAGGCTGGGCCCTGAGAGAGTGGCTCTCGCTCTAGCTCCTGGGCCCTCAACACCTGGCTTCTAGCCCCAGCGCTGACTTGCTACGAAATTGTGGGCAAATCCCTTTTCTTTTGTGGGCAAAATGAGAGGGTGGGACTTTAAGGCCCTCCCAGCTCTAAAGTTTGGGGGTTCTACCCCCATCCCAGAACATGCCCACTCCTTTAGCCTGTACACAACTCCAACCTTTGCCCTCTGCCCTTGCAGGAGAACTCCCGGGGGCCTCTGCTACTCAGCCGTCCCCCAGAAGCCTTGCCTTTGCCCTGGACTCCAGTGCCTCCGGGCCCATGGGCCCCTGGACACTGGCTGCCTCCAGGCCTTTCCATGCCACCCCCAGTGGTGTGCCACTTGCTGTGCCAAGAACCTGCTGTCCCTCTGCATCCCTTCCCTGGTAAGATGATAACTCAGCATTTCTTCAACAGATACTTGCTGATTTGCCATGTGTCAGAAAGGGAGGAGGAAGAGGACACAGGTGGGGAGAGGGTGGACGGAAACCATAATCTTTGACCCCTACACACTCTGCATTCTCTTACCCTCATTAGGCTTTGACCCTGGCACTTCCCTCCGGCTGCCCTCTCATGGGCCCTTCACCCCCTGCCCAGGATCTCGCCCGGCATTGACAGCTCCTCTTTCTGGAGAGCCACAAGGGCCCTCTAGCCTACCCCACACGTGAGTACGGAGAGAAAGATATATGTCACGAGACTAAGCCTGTGCTGGACACCACAGTGGATGATAAAGAAGAAAAGATCTCAGACTAATAGGCAAGGCAGAGCTCTCCTAGTGCCACCATTTCCTAGCTGTGAACGTTTGCACAAATACCTTTACCTCTCTTAGCCTGTTTTTCTATCAGTAAATTGGAGACACTATTATTTAACTCTTGAGTTATCATATGAATTACCAATAATGTATGGAATGCACCTAGCAAAGGCTCTGGCCTTGAACAGATAGTGCCTATTAAATCTGCTTAAACAGATTTGGTGGGGTAGGATTGCCTACTGAAATGCAGGGCCATGATGATGAGAGCCTCAGAGGCCCAGGAGAGGATAAAGGCTATTAGGGAAAGCTTCCTAAAGGTGAACCAAGCTCTCCTTCAAGTTCCATGGGACTTGGGGAACTCAGGGGAGAGGAACCAGACTCTGGTAGGGCAGTGACAGTAACCCCAGTCCCTCTAGGTGTTTTGTCAGTTTTTTAAAAACTGATACCAGGCTGGGTATGGTGGCTCACATCTGTAATCCTAGTGCTTTGGGAGGCCAAGGTGGCCTCAAGGATCACTTGAGGCCAGTTCAAAACCAGCCTGGGCAACATAGCAAGACCCCAGTCTCTACCAAAAAAAAAAAAGAATTAGCCGGGCATGGTGGCATGTGCCTGTAGTTCCAGCTACTTGGGAGGCTGAGGCAGGAGGATCCCTTGAACCCAAGAGTTTGAGGTTGCAGTGAACTATAATCTCACCACTGCATTCTAGCCTGGGCAACAGAGCAAGACCTTGTCTCAAATAAATAAATAAATAAAATAAAAACTGATACCAGGCTGGGTGCAGTGGCTCCCACCTTTAACCCCAGTGCTTTGGGAGGCCAAGGTGGGAGGACTACTTAAGGCCAGCAGTTTGAGACTAGCCTGGGCAACATAGTAAGACCCCATCTGTACAAAAAAAAAGTTTTTTAATTAGTCAGGCATGGGGGTACATGCCTGTAGTCCTAGCTGCTCATGAGGCTGAGGTGTGAGGATCACTTGAACCTGGGAGTTGGCGGTTACAGTAAGCTATGATTGTGCCACTGCACTCCAGCCTGGGTGACAAAGTGAAAGCTTGTCTTTTAATTTAAAAAAAAAAAAAACTGACACCAGTGATTTCCTGCAATCCTCACAGTAGCCCTGGGAAGAAGCAGCTGGCAGGGATTTTCACCTTACAGAAAACAAACCAGGCCAAGACAGGCGACAGGATTTGTCCAAGCCCACGAAGCCTAATGGCCTAGCAGGCTCCTCGATTCTCAGATCAGAATATAGCAAAATCCTGCCCCTCTTTCAGTGTGTACATGGCTGTCCCTGTGTTTAACCACCATGGTATCTTCTCTCCTTGATTCTAGGTGCTCAACTCTGATACTCCAGTCCTGTGGCACCTCAGACCCTCTTCTGCTACAGCCACAGGTCCTGGGAAAGAAGTGGGATCCAAGACCCAGGGAGGAGGTTGAACCTGGGGAAGAGAAGAGCAGGAAACCATGAAGGAACCAGGGTCTGAGGAAACAGGGGATGGACAGAAGTAGGGGTTCCCAGTCTGCTTCTCTCCCTTTCCCTTTGCAGGTCCCCGGAGCCCCTCGCCTGGCCTGGACACCTGCCCCCTCAGAGAGGCAGCTGCAGCAGGAGGCAGCTGAGGCCCTCGTGGGCCTGAAAGATTCATCCCAGGCTCCCCGCCTGACCCCTTCTGTCCCCCCTAACCCTGCCTGGATCTCCCTGCTTCACCCCTGTGGCCCACCAGGTAACCTGTTCCCTGAAAAGAGAGGATGGGATAGGGATGGTTGGGAAATGGAGGTCGCTGAAGTAAGCAGGGACTAACCAAGGAGATCAGAGATCAGCAAGTTGAATATCCTCAGGGCCAGGCCCCCAGGCTCCTCAGCCTAGCCCCTGGGATTGCAGTTGAGAGTTATTCAGTGAATCCATTTCATCAGTTTTGCACTGAACAGCAAATATCCAGTGCTCTGATGTCAAGAAAAGTGAGACCCTGAAAGGGAATGTTGCTGAACTAAAGCAGTGACAAATTCAGAGATCCTGAGCTTTAGAAAGACAAGTATGGTGGGTTTGATGGAGGGATTAGAGGCAAGACTGCAGGTGGGAAAATCAGCGAGGAGGAGGTCTGTATGATAAACCAGGTGAGCAAGGATGAGGCCTGAATTCAATGGAGTAAAAAGGGGGTAGTTGGGAGGGGAAATGGATGTGACCTTGCTCTGCCCTCTTCCTTCCTGCCTATAGCTCCTGTTGGAGGAAGAGGATTCCAGCCTGCCGGCCCCTCTCTCCGACCCAGCCCAGCCCCTGCCGTCGCTCTGCATATTGGGCGTCTGGGATCCATCTCCCTCCTGAGCTAGAAGCCAGAGGTGGAAGCTGCCTGGCTGGGGCAGGGAGGTGATAGCCTGCAGGCACTGTGTATTTAATGTTTTACTTACAGATTTATGCATGGAATTTAATGTAGTACAAGCTTTAGGCTTTTTTTTAAAGCTTTCAGGTGCTTCATTAGCTTTCAGTTCCTTTTGTAATGCAGGCATTTCCTTGGCTGAAGGTGGATATTCTCAAACCCCTTCTTGGGTCCTGGGACCTTAAGTCTCCAACAAAGAAAGTTGAGTAGTTTAAGCTGACCAGTATCTAAATATGTTTTTCCTTGAGTTCATGTTCCAGGGCTCCATGAGGCTGTACACACCTAGGCACTCATGTCTGTCTCTGTGCATGTGAAAACAGGAGAGTATTTCCATCCTGTGTCTAGATGTGTGTGAGTAAGCAAGAAATAAACCTTTGTTGTTTTAAGGCACTGAGACTTGAGGGTTGTCTGTTACCACAGCCTAACCTAGTCTATCCTGAC